TTGCTGCTTGCTGTTCGTTCGGTTCAACTTCAACGAACTGCGGCAAAATGTATTTTGCGCCGGAAGTGCGTCATCTAGCTTACATAAAATTCTTAACCAATAGTAACGAATTGCTGCTGCAGCGTGCTGCGCATGAAAAAGCACCTTTACGATTACGAAAGCAGTGGCTCACATTCTGACAATTTTGCTACGTTCCGAAAACCATGTATAAAAAAGCGTTGCAACCTTTTAGTCCCCGACTGTACATAAATACGTCATACGCCGATACGCCAAAGCTTGTGCGTTATTTACGTCTACAACTTAAGCATCCGGTGCGGATTACGGATTGCGGGCTGTATGTGACGGCATCCTTAAATTAATAAAAAAAACACTTTAATGTAGTCTATTGCAGAGATAGAAAACGATTTTTGATTGGTCAGTTAGAAGAATCCTCTCTTCCGATTGGTTAATCAAAAGCTTCGAAGCATTACGGATGCATGACTTCCGCTTATTTTGTTTCATGTGTACGAACCATAAATGCGTCGTCTCTCCGGATGACGTATGTCGACCATTGTTGACGTAACCGAGTCAATATAAATTTTAAATAACATTTACATCGTGTTGACGTAACGTACCCAGATTTGACGTTGCTTTGAATAGACTTAAATCGTAAACAATTAATTTTTGTGCCAAGATACAAAGACTGAAACGTAACTCGAAGTTTTTTAATGCGCATTCGGCGTCATGCTTTTGACTATCTGGTGGAAGAACGGAATGTAGCTGGGCAACGGGCACTTCCGCCTTGTTCGTTGATTACCTACGGCGGTTTTACGCAGTCAGGTGAGGAGCGTCTTAAAAGTTGTCAGGGTCTAAATAATATAGCTGCGAGGACGAAATAACGGAACGGGCACGTGTGCATGGTAGCGGCGACGGATTCTAGACGACATTTAATTGCAGATGGCAAATGGACGACTGAGCGTGCGCGGATTACGTATGAGGGTCGCGTAGCGTCCGCGACAGGAAAAGTCACACAGCAGGCGGCAGTCACGAGCAGCGTTCTCATTATCAGGATACCTGCAAACTACATATTAGGATATAGTTGCTTGCACCCATCGTGAATATTTATTTTACATAAAAAGGATTTAATTTTAATCAAATGTGAGTGGCTTTTCTATTCTCCAACAAATAGAACAAACAAAAAAAAAAAAGAAACCAAAGACATAAGCTAGAGATTACAATTAGCGTATAATTTCCACCAAAAGTATCGAGATGATGCATAGTGATCTCGAGGATATCCATCCAACTTTTGATGGTTGTAAGACTTCTCTAAAGTCACGTCTCGCATAATCGTGGCGTTATCATACGGGTGTTCGACAACGTGATAAGAGACAGCTCATCGGGTCGAAGGTGAATCATGTCGACTGTTGGTGATGTAATCGCATTCGTGATTTTGAGTATTGAGCTAAAAAAAGAGGGTTTGCGGGAAGGGAACGTCTTTATTACAAGTGTCGTTTCATCTCGTGAAAGAATATCGTTAATAGAGTTTTCCTTTCAAGTGCTAAAATAGCAAAAGAAAGAAGTGCCGATATCCTTTTTTCCCCTCAAATAGTAATCCGAGAACTCGACTATGGACTCCGAACCGATTTTGTGTTACATAAATAGAATAGATGAATAGAAGGTAGAACTCGTCACAACGGCGGAGGGCGGAGTGACAAAAGCACGGGTGTTGGCTAGCGATGGAAGGGCCCTCGCGATTCTGATTGGCTATTCGCGCGTTAAGTAAACGGGGGTATGCGTCACGGTGGCTTGCGGCTGCGCATTGAGCGGCCCGGGCTAGTCTTGTGAGAATTACCGTTGCTGGTTAGCCGCACCTCGTTTTATCCTCATCTTACGTCTTTGAAGCATTTTTAACGAACGGCTATTGCGATTCTCGCTAACGTAGACATTTTAGGACGATAGAGAATGATATATGGTAAATTACGTAAATTTCAACTTAATTAAGCGCAAATAGGTCAGACGCGAAAATTCTGGGTCTCGCCCTTGTAATGGAATGTCGCGACGTCTTTCGTTATGGCGTCCTATCTTTGTTGCGCGGCACGCGGCTATAATTTTCAAAGACAAACGAGAACGGAGACTTGATTCTTGAAGAGAACTTTAACGATCTAGCGACAAATTAGGTTGAAATTCCGTGATAACGTTAACTGGGTCTACGCCTCGGGCGAACCTGCGAGAACACGTATTCTACAATATGGCGTGATGAGTGCGTCGCTTGTTCTTGCTCGCGCCGCCGGATGCTATTATCAAGTATTTTACGTTTCATTGCAGACGCGCGCGCAGATGATTTAGAGGGTCGGTTCGCATCCAGTGTAATGAAAATGCGTTAAAACGTCCTCAACATCAGCAAAATGGTGAGTATGGCATACGTAAAATATTCTTTTTTAGTTTTATCGTGAACATGGTGAACTATCTGACCAACGCATAATTCGGGAAAGATGGCACCACTTAGCTCTGCGAGAGATCAATAACCTATTGCCCCTCTCTCGACCTCGTATTCTACATTTGTCGTTACGAAACCTTGACGCGTTTACCGACGTAAGAGATTATTCAGTTTGTTATTGTGGACGTATAATAAATTTCGAATCTGAATATAAAGGTAGACAAATGGACGAGATTGCTCTTACTTTTTTTTTTTAATCATGTAATATTAAATATATTTGATAAAAAGATTGATTTTATGCATGAATGGTTTTCATAAAAATTGTCTTTATAAATTAATAATGAATAAACGAGAGAGATGAAGATTATTCTTAAATTAATTAAAGAGAAAATTGTGAGATTTATTTAATTTATATTTAAAAAATATATAAACGTTAATTAAAAACCAATTTTATTAATTAAAATGTATTTTTTATTATCTTATAAATATAGAGAAATATATATATTTTTTTTTTGAATATATTGCTAGGTAATACGGACACACTTATATATACTCATTTATATATTAATGTTAATTATTGTTGACATTTATTTGTGATTCGTCTATTGTCTTTCTGATATATCAACATACTCGTATCAAAAATAGTTCTATAGAAGAATATTAACTTCCGAAGTACATAATTTCTGAATTAATAATTTTTTTTATAACTATCCTTTTGAAAATTGTAATTATCAAATGGTTGGTCATTGATCAGTCAATTAAATTAATGACTTTTATTTATCATGTTCAAATTATCTGTATGAAAATTGAGCTCAAAGTACGTTTTTTAGAATTTATAAAAACTATAAGATAATATAAAAGATTATCTGTCTTGAAATTTAAACTTTCAAAATTTGATTAACTTATATTATTAATTTTATGATTTATTATTTTGATATTTCAAGAAATCACACTTATACACACACACACACTCACGCACGCAATAATTATTTGATTGTTATTTAAAATTGTATGTTTCCATTATTATTATTATTAATAATATTACTTGTATTCGATAATCTATCTATGAATGATAATCATGAAGACAAAATACAGTTTTGCAATAATATATATACATATATATATATATAAAACGTTGTATTATAAATATTTACTTTTTTTTATGAAATATCTCTACAATAATAAATCATAAATTTAATACTGTATTATAAGCTAGTTGTTTTTAGATATTTATATCCAACTATCAGAATAGTCTAAAATGTCTATAATCTTTAATTATCCTCGATTCTTTTTCATGTGATAAAAAAAATTTATTGTTTGGAAAAGAAATAGTAAGAAATTTATTAAATTTATCTAAAAATTTTAAATAAATTTTTTTTTACACAAAGTCACATTGGCTAAAGCTTAAATTTTTCTTTAAAATTTAAATAAATACTTTGTATATCTTTTATTTTTGATAATTTTTTGAAATTATTTTAAGGTATAATTTAGATTATAATCATTTTGTTTTTACATAACACATGTATATCAATAATGTTTTTTTTTTCTTAAATTTGTATTTCAGCCACGTATAGATCCTCTATTGTTACTCAAATGTCTTAGCGTTTTATTGGGCCCAACAGGAGGTATTAAGAGTAGAGAAGAAGTTCATCGATTAGCTAATTTAATGACAAAATTTTCTAAGAAGCTTGTTTCAAAATGCATTTATATACAAATATTGAAAACCACTAATACGGATTTGCTTAGTCAGTAAGTACTTAAATAAAATTTATATGTATAATATTAACATTTAATTTTACACACTTCATTATATCATTTGTTAACATATTTTAAATTAGTAATTAAAATAAACAAAAATTGTTATTCAGCATGTTGAGATACACAAGTATATGTAATTCGTATGTTTGTGTAAAAGAAACTATAAACATGCAAGAGAAAATTATAAGAGGCCCAGAACCATTAGACGGTACTTATCATGTGCCGTTTTTACTGATACGGGTCTTACATTTCAGCAGATTTCACAAAAACTCATTTAGAATTTCATAATTTATGTTATCTTGTGTACACTATTGCTAAAACTTTTTATAAAAGACAGTAGTTTAAAATAACAGTAGTTTAAAGACTTTAGAAATATAATTGTACAATTATCGCTTGTTTTATGTGTATATAAATATTATTTTTAATATTTATGGAATCGTCATGTAGCCTCCAGATTTCAGACGTTGCTACATGAATACTACGAATGTAAGAGACTAGCCTATAAGCTGCGGCGACAAAATAATTATTCTGTTGCTTCCCCATCATGCGCAGTATTCAGCAGTAGCAACATCTGAAATCTGGCGGCTTTGCTACATTTGTTCTTGAAATTTTAAATAGTATTATATGTGAAATTAAAATTTGAAATAGAATATATAATTTAAGATCACATTATTTATCCGGTAGTACAAGGTAAGGAATTATTTAACATTTTACATTTCCTTCTTTTACAGATTTATGAGCGCGGGAGGATGGAATCTTGTTCACACATGGCTCACTGATGGCATTCTCGCCAAGAATTGGGCTCTCATTCAAGAACTTCTCGAACTTCTGCTGCTTTGTCCAATAGATATTGAGCGATTGAAGAGCAATAATTGCCCAAAATTAATCAAGGGTTTATCAAAGGAAGGTAGTCACCAAGGTGTTCGGACATTGGCTAGTCGACTTGTAGAGCAGTGGCTGAAAATTGTAAAGGGAGAAGCGGCGCCGAATTCGGTACCGGCTCAAATCATGACGGTTCCAGTACAATCGAATGTTACTATTGGTCAAACTGCTACTTCATCATCACAACAACAGCAGCAACAGCAGGAGCAGCAACAGCAGCAGTACTCTGCGAACACTCCGCAAGCTGTAAATATCACTGAAACTGCCACCATTCACATACAGGACTTGAAACTCGAACAATCTGCTGTAAATATTTCAATAAATCAGCAAGCAGATTCAGAGAAGCAACAACAACTGCAGGAAAGGCTACAGCCGCAAACGGTGCAAATTGTTGGCAAGGCACAACAAACGCAAGTACAACCGCAAATAACACAACAACAATGTAAAAAGCAATCCTTTGTCGTTGTATCGACGTCTTCAACGACATCACTGCCCGTTTACAAAATTACAATTCGCGATGGCAATCAGGTTCTCGCAAAGGTAGAGACTGACGTCGCGAATATAAATAACGCCTTAGATACAACTAGTACGAGTACGGATAGTGAACACGGTTCCTCAGACGTTAAGGAAGCGAAGGTAGAATCGGAGGAGTTAGACGTGAAAGAAGAGAATGGCAGTGCGACTATCGATCGAGACGATGTAATAGATATTGTACAATCGGACGATTCGGGACATGTTCCTAGTGAAGTGAAACAAACTGTAGTTAGTTCAAAAGATAATGAGGATACTGAAGGTGTTGAAAGCAAAGACATTAAAGACTCTAAGGACATTGTCAGTAGTGATAGCGGTAAATCTAGTGATAAAGAAAATAGGGACTCTCATAAAAAAGACGATAAAAAATGTAGTACTAGTAGCTCCGATAAGAAAAGTAGCGGCCATCATCATGGCTCGTCTTCGTCTTCGTTATCATCGTCTAAAAGTTCTAAGCATGGCACGAGTTCCAGTGCACATCGCAGCAGTTCTACATCCCATAAATCTAGTAGTCATCGTTCCGGTTCTAGTAGTAGTAGTAGTAGTTCTAAAAACTCCAGCTCTAGCAAAGATAGGTCTTCCAAGGATAAACATCACTCCAGCTCATCTAGCAAGCATAGCTCAAATAGAAGTAAATCGGAACGAGACAAGGAACGGGATAAAGAGAAAGAGAAGCAGAAAAAAGATCAAGCCGAAAAGGACAAGGCAACTCTGGAGAAGGTACAAGGACAAGCTTTGAGTTCTAAGATGGGTAAAATACCAAAGAAGCGTACGGAAGATGAGAAATCAGGCGATGCAAGAAAGTCTTCAACAGAGTCGCGCGATAGCTCAAAAGAAAATAAAGAAAAGGCAGATTTGAAGAAGGATATTATTGCGACAAAGCAAATTATTACCGAAAAGAAGAATATATCTATTTCCATTGAGAATAGAAAAAGTAGCCAGGATTCAGGGACGCGACCGAAGACGGTAAAGACGTTCAACTCTAAATTCAGATCTACGGGCCTAGAAGAAGAAGTAAAACCACCACCACCTAGATCGAAGAAAGTGGCTCCTGTTGTTGATAAGAAGATTCTACCTCCGAAATTACCCTTGAAGAGGCCATCGCCAATGAGAGACGTTCCACTGGCGGAGAGACGTATGAAGGTATCATTGGATTCACCAACAACTCCACCAAACGACGAGAAAAAGGGAGGAATTAAGCTGATTCCGCCAAAACCTAAACGTAAGTATATTGGTATCCTATTACAAACTATGTATAAAATTTCTTTATTAATACATGATATTTATCATAATTTTCTTTTAAAATACAGATACTTAAATGTTAATTTAAATGTAAACATATTGCTAATGTCCTTAGATAAAGCAGTCTGTAGATTAAATTTTTAATTACATAGAAATTTTACTTTACATATACAATACAAGATTAAACTTTAAGTTTTATTCGGTATTTCTCTCTATATATGTATATCTCGGGAATATAAATAAAATTTTAGAAACATTTTTATATTGAATTATTAATATTTATTTTAAAGAAATAGTGTAAATACAGAAAAAATGTATACAAAAAGAAAAAATATCTTAAAAATCTCCTAACATTTTATCAATTGAAAAAAATTTATTAATGAATAATAATATATAAAAAATAAAGCATAATAAAAATAGTAAAAAAGAAATATGGAATGGAGTATTATATATATATCTCTTATGATTCATTAAAAGAATTTGAATTTATATTTAAACATTTGTATATAAATAGTCATATATAAATTTTGTTTTACTTTATAAATATGTAGCTTATACTAACATATTTTTATATATATCAAAATATATCATTTTTTTATTATATGCATATAATTTTTGTCTTTTATTTACATTAAAATATATTCTCAATGAGAAATCAAAGTAAATAATTAAATATATAACCATTTGTTTTATAGTATTTTTATATTTTATTTAGAAGTGTTATTTTATTACTGTTTTTACCAGATTTATCATCTATTTTTTTATAATAAGATATTATAATGTTTATTCTAAGTTCTATTTCGATAAAATAATGATTGTAAATGAATATATAATGACTGCTTAAGCTTTGTACATTGGCATGCTGCATTATATTACTTACTAACTCTGTAATATTGAGTTTGCAGATGGACGACCACTGAAGACAAACAACCAGTTCCGGTATTTAACGCGATATTTTTACATATTGCGAACATTACTGATGGTTTTTCTCTTTTGATGTTATATTGGACATTTTTTTGCCTATGTACCTTTAACTATTGTTTCTTCCAGGCATATCATAGCGTAATATTTTTTAATAGTATACCCTTTCTCTATTTTCCCCCAAAAAATATTATTAGCGTCTTGTAGAAGATATAATAAGCCGTGATGATTTATTCATCGTGCATTATGGAGAATGTTACGGCTCTTGTTGTGTGTTCTGTGCGGATCACAGAAAATTAACATCTCTTGTTTAGAAGAACGAAGCCATTAGGATTGACACCAAATGACATTCGACTACGAACTTTTTCGTATTTTAAGAATCTTCGATTTAGCAGGTAATCGATAAAATATTCATTAAAACGCGATTTTTCTAATTAATATTTGCGCGATTGAAAAAGTATATATTTTATAAACAAATTTAATTGTTTCGGAGTAAGACATAATTTCTCCGTTGAGAATAATAGAGAACAAGTGTTTTATTTTGATATTTACGGATGATGGGCAGTGGGCATGTGTTTTAATCTTCGATATATGAGGCTGCAATATGAAGGCATCACACTGGAATAGTCTTCCTAATTCTAATCTTTTACTAGGTAAGGCAACAAGTCTTGTCTATTCATATATATATATATTTTCCCCTGTACATGTACACCCTTCTTAAACATTTGAATAAATTTATCAGAAATCTAGAAATATTTAACTCTTCGGTTTTTACAGTACACATCTTGCTTGCTGTGCGAGCGATTGTGCATTGCTTTTTAATATCGAGTATGTATCGCGAGCCCATCCAAATTTCCATCCTCTCATTAATTCTTAAAGCACAGAATGTGAATATGTAAATATTGATGATGATTGAATTATTCGATTTTTGGGAGATGGATTATGTTAACGTTTCTCAGATTAGAGTATTACATATAAATGAAAGTTTCTTTTATTTACATGAAAGTAATAGTTTTCCATTAGTCGTCGAGTATAGCCTAGCCTAATACTTGGGCAGATTTTGCAAAGCATTTACTGACAAGTGGGAAGATTACAAAATTTATACACAATTTACTATATCGAATGTTACAAAAAATATAATTAAGAATTTGTTAACTGAGTAGATTTGTACAAAAGTTTGGTATAAACTAATAGTGAAAGTTAAGCAAAACCTGCCAAGTTATATTGATAGACTCTGCAAGCAAAACATGAGGGTGATACAAATACTGAAAAGTATTGAATTTGTTGTATTTTTTAAACGAATTTATTGCTATTCTGCTAACATTCTGTGAACAGTTACTTACTGGGATATATATTTGTTTGCTAATGAAACATGAATATTTTGTCTAAGGGATATTGGCGGATATCATAATTTTTTTATATATATACTACACAAATTTATAAATTTATCAGAGGGAATTGAAATTTGCGTGGGGCAAGTGATTCAACACCTTACTTATACAAAGAGAAGAAGAGATGATAAAGCATTATTTATTTTGCGAGAAAGAGAGAGAGAAAGTGTGAAGGAAAGAACGATTGAGAGTGTGGCTGAGAAAAAGAAGAGAGACTGATGAAGAACTAAAGAAAATATCGTGAAACAACGTTGAATAATGCGGTGACTCTGGATTGAAAGTAGCACTGAAAGTGCACGAATTCTCAAGCTGCATATTCGACGTCTTCGAGCAAGAAGGCCTCTCGGACCAGCAGGCCCCCATTACAACCACCGATATCGTCGGCATGGCGCTTCTTTGCTAATGTTTATGTAGCTAAACGAAACGACAGAAAGAGTTAGGAATCGTAGAAAAGAGAGAAAGGAAAAAAGATAGAAAGCCAAGGCATCGCGCTCCAAAATTTGCAGCTCAAACGTATATCTAGAATTTTTTTTTTTGCATTTTTCTATTTGACATGGAAAATGATATTGTTAAGAAATTCTTTATAATTGTCTACAAAATTATCAGAAAATAGTTCTTTTCCAAATTATTCACAAAATTTCTCTTCGCGATAATCGCGTTCGCTTCAACGGATAAACGTGTGATAATGCACGTGTGCAACGAAAGAAAGTCGTACGGAGCGGCTTGCACGGAGGCTCTTTCTGTATATATATTGTCGCACAGCATCGATGCCGTCGATAACGAGAAACGTTAATTTTTCGCGCTCATCGCAAATTTTGGTGCGCGTCTCGGAAAAATTGAGATTTGATTTTTGGGAAGTTACCACGCGGACGGGAAACGTGCCTGCATCGGAAGGACGGGGTGCAACGAGGTTCGTGAGACGAATCCGGCCTATCGTGTCGGCGATGAAATTTTGTTGCATCGCGACGATTTCAGCGTCCGAGTTCGGTCCCGGGTGTGAGACCGGCTCGCAATATGTCGCAAGACATCGGGGAATTCAAACGAAATCGCGGTTTAGCGAGGTACACTGTCGCAGAGACCCAATGTTTTTGCAACCGTCTCCACGCCGACGCACGTGGCTCGTCCGTGCGTGTGCTGCCGTTGGTGACGATACCGCGCTACGGGATCCATATCTACTAACCGTTCGACGTACATCGACCCGCGCTGGACTTTATATTCCTCCTTGCGCGGCGTTCACCGCTCCGTGAGATTTACGGGAACGAAAAAACTATTCTATCCGAAAGAGTGCAAATATATGCATAATTGCGCTCGGATAATAATTTTTCTCGATTTTTAAATACATAATTGATAACTGTTAGCGTGGCTATTAATTACGGGACGATGGTTAGCGATCGTATTTGAAAGAGCGCGAAAACGTTTTCTATACAATCCTCACACGTGCTTGTATATATTTTGTGATATTTTTATACACGCATGTAGAAGGATATTCTATTTTTAATCGAATAATATGTAAAAGAGGAAGTATACAATGACACGATCACGGCAGTATCTAATTATCAATTTTTATCCTAGAGCGATTAAAAACTTGGAATTATAGTGAAAAATTTATTCAAATCTTTTAAATATCAAAAAGTAAGAGTCATCAAATACATATCTTAAATTGATATTATAAATGGTCCTAACAAAATATTTGCATAATATTTGCATACAATCCGATAGAATATTTTTGTTGTTTCTTTTTATACATATTGACATACATACATTGCCATATTGTAAATTGTTAGGATAATGTTTAAAATTAATAGGCAATAAATCTTCTATTAAGTGTATAAATAAATAAGATAATCTCTCGAATGAAATGAATTCATTTCGGAGCTGTAATATGCGCCGATTTAATTAGCATTGTATTGAATTATGGATTAAAGTTTGACATTGCTGGTAGAATGATTGTGCTTTTTTAGAATGCGCGTCTTTGGAATATACTGAAACGCTTGCCCGATAAAAAAACTTCTGTTGTGCGAACAGAATATTTTATACTGTCATTTAATAGCACATTAATTGTTATTCTTATACAAATAACACCGTTTCAAATGCACATTCAGAATTGTTTTTAGATAAAGCAAAGTCTCGATCGCAATTTAAATAGATACTGTTAATGTTTAATTTATAGTTTCAAATTGTTACACACACAACCGTAAAAAATATACATTTATAACATTAAACGAATATAAAATGAACGATAAATAAAACGGGATATAAATGTTTGTACAGTTTCATATTAATTTAACTAAAAGCACGAGATAACAATGAGAATTGTAACGATTTACTTCTAATGTATATATGTGTGTATGTTTATTTGTCATACACACACACACATACATACATACATACATATATATATATAAATTACACGAATGATACGTGTATACAAGTCAAAACGTACAATAACTCTTCAAATGTATTTTTATATTATTAATGAGATCGTTTTTTATTCAACAGATTTCACTTCTTGCAAAATTGTGAACTTTCGCATAATTTTCGATCGATGTTACGCAATGTAAAAAGGTATTTAAAGAGAATTGTGTGCATCGAGAATATTTTGATATACGATTCGAAGAAGGTTCTACTTAGATAGCAGATAAATGTCATGCTTTTTCTTTTTTATCATGAAAATCTTCTGTGTGAAAATAAAAATATCCTTCATAATACAACCTATACTCTCCTTAATTTTTATGTTAATTTCTGTTGTATTTTTTATTTCAGTATTGTCAGTGTATTCTCTCTAATATTTGAGATATAACTCCGTTATTCTCTATTATTTGTGGATTAGGGTATCCGGAGATAGTATCTCAAATATTGATAGCATTACTCTACACTGTATCCTTTAAAAAAATATTAAAAAGCTAGTTGTAATACAAATCCTATTTTGTTTGTAGTATTTTGATATAAATTAAAACCTTTTTGTATTATTTTTATATTATTTGTAAAATGAGATAGCGATTTTATATGATAAAAAGTATTTATCCATATGATAAATTCATATATATGAATTATAATACATTTATGCATATATGAATAATAATCAATTTATATGCTTTATTGTGTTGTGATATATTTCTCTAATATTATTCTTCATATTAAATTGCAATTAAAAAGAAAATAAATATGATAAATGAGTAATCATTTTCTCAATCACCATATTAATATAAAATTTATGTAATGGCACTTTTCCATATATGTAGAAGTATATAGAAGTCTCACTTTTACAATTTGTAATAATCAAGATTTTATTGAAGCGATTTAAATTTATTTTCATATAATAAATGAATTTATATTATAAAGACAATTGTAATTTAAATATAATTATTACAAATTATTTTCATTTTGTTTTGAACTTTTTATTATGAATACATGTAATCGCAATTGTTATCTCTATTTTGTATGATTTTTATGCAGTAAGAATAAATATAAGAAATTCTATAAAGAATGTGTCGAAGAAATATATTGAATAGTTTAATAAAAATTCTAAGTACTGAATTATATAAATTAAATAATAAATATCAAAGAAGAGCATAATTAGTAAAAGGCAACATGGAAGTCCTATTGTTATGAATTTGTTGATAATAAATCGACTGCATATTTCGTTCACGGCTTTTATAACGATCGAACAATGTTTTACTTTTCATCAACAAAACTTCACGAAAATTTTGCACTGAAACGAATTTCTAATTGTGAGTTGAAATGTCTATGTCATAATTGTATCAAAATTTTAAAGAGAAACATTTTTTTCAAACATTTAACTAAATAAAATTATTAATATCCAAAAACTCCGTGTAGGCTCTTAATGGCGTACTCTTCTTTGATATTTTTTAATTTAATAATCACACATACATATGAAATAATAACACTTTGCAGCGTTGTAATTATAATGTGATTCAAAGAAATATATATATTTTTTTTGTAAATCGTTATCTTAATTTAAAAATTTCTTTATATAGTAATACGAGATTAAAAACTACAGAAATTTATTATATAAGATTTAAATGTACACATAACATTAGAATATTCTTGATTTATATTCGATATATCGAAGATACATTTATTTTTTTCTACTATTGCAATAGTATGATGTGCAACATAAAAATTAATCTCGAAAATATTTTCTTCGATTTAATAAAAATAAAATTTGTAAAGAAACACTTGTTACTTTCTCTCAGAAATAGATATTAAATAGATGTTAAAACATTACAAAAAAAAGGATGTCAATAGTTTATCAAAAAAGTGTAAGAACTCTCAATAAATATTTATAATTAATAATATATAAATGGATTAAATGCATAATTACTGTTCCTTTAAAATTGTTATACTCTGATTTACGTTTATGTTGCACATATTCTATTCCTTACGGCTTGTATATCATCTACGATCTAAAAATAACACCATTATTATTGTCTAATTTGTTTCTTAATTATTTTTATATTATTTATATAACTAATAAATATACGTATGTATGTGTGTGTGAAACAATATAAGAAATTCTTTTAAAAAAATATACTACTAGTTTAAATCTTTTATATCTCTTTTCTCTTGTAGGATGTATTGAGCAGAATTGAAGACAAACTCATCTCAGCAAATAAGTTATTATTAATTTCCAAGAGGAAAAGTATGATATAAAGCTGATATTAAAGAATTGATATTTTACTTACAGCTGCTGAAAACTGGGAAACATTTTTTACTTTTTTTTTCAGATACTGAATGCTGAATATTATTAAAGCAACGAATGAATCGTCATGACTTTGCGACTAGGGGCATAATATTTTTACATAATTTTTGCAAATTACATCCATTTACAGAAACAATAAAATATATAAATTGCAGTTTGAAAATATATTTGATATAATTACATATGCAGGTATTTCTTGATGTTTAGGCATAATTTCAGATGTAAATTCAGAAAATATGACAAGCATAGTTTATATACAAATATTTTTTGAGATGATAAATCGAAGTTATTAAAAAAATTGACAAAAAGATTATTTAACGATAAGAATAATCGGAAACAGAATAGAAATAGCATCTATACTAATTTGTTCTATCATCTTGGTGCCAAGAGTTTCTTATGTGGAATTATGCCTATGTAGGAAAAACGCTGTATATTTATAAATTTTTATAATGATATAATCTTAAACGTGCCACTGTTTTTCAGAATGGTTTTAAGCAGAATTTTCAGGACGCGCTTCAGCTCTTTTATTTCTTTTAAAAAATCTTCAAATCTTAAATATTTATTATTCCATTTTAATGTCGTAGATACTGCAGATTTTCGTATTCACGTTTCTCAATTGCTTTCAATTTCAGATACCGAGACGACCAAGTTGAAATCAAATTTTGCAAAATAATACTGACAGAAAAGTTGGAGATTCGATAATTTGTTGTTTTCTCGCTATTCACGATAATTCTCAAATTTTTTTTCAGCGATGATGTTACAAGAAAGCGATATGTTTATGGATGCTCTCACTGCGTCTACCAAAAGTAAGGAACCGAGAAAGCGTAAACGGAGAGCTTCTATCACGAAGGATGGACCTTCAGAAAGTAAGAAACAAGAAATTGTTATTTCCGATAATTGTGACAGTACGCCACCACCTACTTCACCTTCAAATGTCGAAGAGAAATCGCCGGTCGCCCTTAAACCTAATTTTAAGGTAAATATAAATGGATATAAAATTGGATATAACATTAGTTGTATAAATTCATTACGTAATAATTTAATTTTTTTTACAGTTCTATCAGGATACGTTGGAAATAGAAGAAGACAAAGATCAAAGGGAAAGAGAAAGTGGCGAAGAAGAATCGAAGAAGGATAAAGATCAGCTGCTTGATGAAGAGAAAGACAATAGAGACGATGATGATATTGGAAGTAACAGTATGTATTTTGTCATTATTTTAACTTATTAATAATGTTTGTTTTTACTAATGAAGATTAACTTTAATCTCAATTCAATTCACTCTTCATCTTTTTCTAATTCACTGGGTATAGCCTTGCACTGTATTAGTTTCATGTAAGCGCTGCATTGCACTGAAGTATTGCACACACTGCACACCGTGGTGTACACTACTTTATTATACGCTAAAATCTTGCTGTCGGTTAACTTCCATTTTCAAATTTTAAATGTCACAGTAGCTCATCTCGTTGAGATGGTGTAGCAAAATCCCACTTCGTGTAAAACTTGCATTACACCATAGAGAAACACTCAGAGAAACACGGTACACCGAACGAGTTCGCTTACTAGTATAAGCCATGGAAACATGCTATACTGTCTGAGTGTTGCAGAATAACGCTATTAGTTTTAAGAGATTAAAATTGAACTATTGATAAAAGCGGATATAAGCAGTGAAAAATCATGTTAAAATAAGTTATATTTGTTTAAATAATAATTAATGTATACTTGTTTTATTATAGCACCGACACCCGAAGACGATGTGGAAGAAATCAAAGACGTAGAATCACCAGAAGATGTGTCTTCGATAATTTCGGAGTCGATGAAGAAGGATAATTCCTTTCCCGAAATACGATATGTAGATGGACTTAAAAGCGTTCTATTACTTCAAAAGCGTAAAGGGCCGAAAAAGGTTTTAAAGTGGAAGACAGATCTAGAATCTATACGTTACTTCGAATTGGACGAAACGGAAAGAGTTAACGTAACGAAGACATTTACCGATATGAAACAGATGGAAAAACAAAATGAGAGGGAAGCATTCCAGATGGCTCGAAAATTAAGTACGTATTCGTGAAATAGCAATATAAAATTTCTTTAGCTATAATTACATCATTAAGTATTTGTTTATATAAAATAGAATAATATACTTAAAAATTATTTTGCAGTTATTTTTTGTTTTAATTCCAATGCATGATTATTTTATACATATATACAGAATATAACATATAAAATGCTTTTTTGTGTGTGTTATTAGATACTGAAGACTTAATGGAGGAGAGAACAAGATGGAAACCTTTAATTCCGATTGATCTACCACCTCCGTTAGTGGAGCCTGGAAAGGATAGCAAAGAGAAGGATGTCCAATATGCTCGTGAAAAAGGCATTCTTCAAGCCCTTTATTTTAATCGAAGCATGTATGTAATAATTTCATTGATATTGTAACGACGAAATAAAATATATTTTTATATTTTATAATATATTTATACAAAAATACTTACTAAATACTAGAAATAGTAACTGTATTTATACATCTAAAATATATAGTAGCAGCTGTTAAGCATGTTAAGACTTCTACAGAATCGTCTCTGATTATAAGCTTTCTACTCTAGAGCTCACTCACTCATTTTACTACTTGTATAAAAATTAATCGATGAGTTTTATGTAGATGAAAAAAAAAGTTTTTACAAAACTATTACAGATATAAAAATATCTTGGACAGAATGTAGTATATATTCAAATTTTCAATCAATTAGTTGGAAGTTTTCAATTCTGATTATTTTTTTGTATTATAGGATTCCAGATTCTGCGGCCGAACCCGATGAAGAACGGCATCATGTGATGACCGATCCTAAAATAATACCGTTAGAAGATCTCACGGGCAATAAAGAGAGCGAGAAAGACTTCACAGCGGTACCATGGCCAGAACCTAAGCCACAACCACCGCAACCGTCGACTGTAACGACGTTCCATTATCCGACAACGTATCCGCACAATCAACAAAGTATGATGACGGTTATGGGACCTCAATCGACAATGGGCCCCATGCCGCAAATGCCACAACAGATGATGGCTCCTACGCACATGGCGCCCATGGCTCCGGAGATGGCGGGACCGATGCCAGCCACTGGTGGTGGCGGTTGGAGAACAGGCGATGGCAAAGTCCTCGTGCCGGACGTTAGTATAAATCCGATGACAAACATGTCAGCTGGTTTTAATCAGGGAATGGAAGGTGCTCCCATGGTACCACCGGGAATGATGGGACCACCACCCATGTACAATCAAGAAAATTATGGCATGATGTGCCCCGACGACATGGGATACAATAACTTTCAAGGTCCGCCCGGACCGATTTACGGTCCTGGACCTAACTTTCCAGGTCCAAGAGGCGCTCATATGCACAACAGAGGTAGAGGTGGTCCTGGTTGGGGATATCGTGGACCTGTTAGAGGCGGTTGGAGAGGTGTCGGCGGAGGTGGATGGCGAGGAAGTGGAAAACAGCCACCGGTATGTAGACAGTTCTCGAAAAACGGTTTTTGTCGAGTAGGTGATAAATGCCAATATCTTCATCCCGGTGTAAACTGTCCGCCGTTTTAAAAGTGAAACTGAAATAGTGATACCAATTAAATTGGATATTAGTGATTTAATATTGACTATGTGATATTGAACGAATGTCTTCAATTGGAGGTACCCAAAAAGTGACGAAACAGAAGAGGAGTAGAATTGGTAGCGTTTTAATGATATATTCATATTATCGATGATTACCCATGGGACTCATATCGATGACGATTCGTTTGGAGAGCAGATTCAAATGCGCGTGCAAACAATGCGCAACGCGCAATTCCCAAAGTGATCATATAGTGATTAATGTGCAATTTTTTAAAAAGAGGTCTCTGACTATGCATGAATACTATAATATTTCTATTTGATAATACTCGAGCATTCAAAAATTATGTAAATATAATGATATTTCCATGAATGATATAAAGTTGTCACAGCATTCGATATGATCGAATTGCATGAAGGAACGATACATCCATGATCCTTCATGTATCCTTCCACCATGATTGATTGCAAGCGCATTGTAAAATCGAATCGTGACCATACCAAATTCATATCGGCTGCTGGACAGCAGAGCATTTGAGAGATTGTTAACGTAATCCTTTTTTCGGTTCCTTTAATTCTTACTATGATTTATTTCTAAAATTATGCTATTGATATTTGTATTAATATGAGATTTTTCTCTCTCCTTTCTTTTCATTATCTTTCTTTTATGTTTGTATTTTTTATACGAGGCCATTGCCGAGATTATAATTATTTAATATATCTTTCAAATACAATTCGAAAATGCAATGAAAATGGAATTATATCGATATGACAGCTAAAGTATTCCATATACACATGTTCTTGAAATTTTTTATTGGGGATCGATCATGCTGTACATTACTACTGCTTTGTGCTTAAAATAATGGAATTCTGAAATAGAAGCAATGTCAATAATAATATTCGATAGTGATTCCTAGTGGAATAGGAATTTCAATATGTTATATTTCAATATGACAAGCTCATATTTTGAAACATGGCGCTGTATTCCGCTAGAAGCAAGTTTAACAAAAAAAAATATGAGGACAGGTTTATACTTTTTAGCATAATTTTTATGTGTAGATTCTTTGTAAATACGTTTGCATAATATATACATAAACAGATTATTCTCTATATAATGATAGACTGTTAGGTTTACAATTAGTTGTGTAAAAATAAAAAAGATCAGGACGGTAATATTTAATGGGAATCATATGTACATGCCCTTTAAAGTTATAATCGACCTGATATTATTTGAACTAATTTCCTCGAGTTTGATGTACAAAATCATGTAATAATTCTTTATAATCTGAACCATCGTGATAGTCAAACAGCAAATTTTTTACCTTGTAAGATGATTAATTACACTTTTTTTGTATATGGTTGAACATTATGTTTGTATATAACATGTTGTATAAGCTTGATGAAAATATATGTCACAATTATTTTTTAAAATTGTCTAATAATTTTGTGAAAAGGAACAAAATACCTCAAGATATCTTTTAATAACGTATTTTTCAATAAGCACAAAGGTAACAATTTTATATTTAAGACTGTAAGACAATCCGAAGACATTTAAATATAATTCAATGCAGGAAGTAGTGTGAAGATTATAAATATTAAATATAAATAAATTCTCAAAATTACACAGTAAGATTTATAAAAGAGATTTCTGTAAAACACTCCATTAACAATTCATAAAATTTAAATTTATTTAAATTGCTGAGGTGGAACTCCAAAGATACTGCCACTCTGTTTGCTTGCAGTTCTGGATGGCGCAAAGCCAAGTATTTTCTGGATGTTCTAGAAACGAGAAGTACCAAAAAGATATTTGTACTTGCCCATGTAATTAAGACAAACTAGACTTACCTGTCTGATACTCATTGTACACAATATGTACAAAAATATGAATGAGCACTCAGTATAATCGTCACCAGGAAGATTTCTATGCGACAAACCTTGTATCCAGCTGATTGGGACAAATGGTAATCTGGCGACTACTCGTCCATCAAATATGTTGTTGAACATACTCAATAACGCTGTAAATGCAAATCCAATCGCAAACATAGATTTCATTTTCACAAGAGACAGATCTCGATTGTTGTTCTTCAATCTCTCCTCTTCCCGTTCAATTTTCTTCTTTTGTTGTCTGTCCAAAGAGTCACCATGTGCCTCTTTTCTTTTCTCCACTAAAAGATAAAAGCAAATACATTAATATAATCATTGTTTTTATGTTGCACAGAGGATATTTCGGGAAAACTCACGCTTTTTGCTTTGTTTTTCAACCTCGGCTTTTAGTTTTTGATATTTTTCGGTTCTGTACACCATTAACCATGTAAACCCTGAACAGAACATTAATACAATGAAACAGTAAACATAAACATACGTTGAAATATTGTTTTACTTTTCTTTCTGTATATTTTTTGACGTATTCGAACTCTTACCTTCGCCTAGTAACGCTGTGCAAATACTGATAAACAAAATTAGAATAGTGTCTGCCCACATGTTAGCAAAGTCGTTTTTATTCACAGCTCATACAATTCAACACGATCAATCCTCATAATAAACAATTCCGATCGATTCAAGTGGGAAAGTCCCTCTTGATAAATTGTATTTTTACTACTAAAGTCGGCGAATAGACGAGGATAAATGTATTAAATTACAGACATGGTGAAAAAATATATTGTTCGATATATATTCGATCATTCAGCAGCAGCAGGTAGGTGATATGTTACTGGTTAGGTCACAAGTTTGAATCTCTTTGAAGAGTTCCAAAACGCATCAGTATTGTGATCAATGAACTCATTGGTCGGCTTCTGTTACTCTTATTGCTTATTGGCATATATCCTAACAATAAGTATCTAATTTTTTTTTTAAACAATTTTTAACTATATATGATAATAAATATAACAAGATATAAATAAATAAATGTACATACAGAAATTATTTAGATAGATTTCTCTTTTAATTACACCTTTTGCACCTGTTCCTTTTTTTTTAGTTTTACATATAAAATTTTATTTTTTTCTAAAAAAAAGCACAGGAAATACAAATATATCTAAGGAAAATGTTATAACAATTAATTGCATATTATTCACATATTTATTCTAAACATTTAAATTGATGTATTATTCTATTGTTTATAGTGTAAGCTACATGTATGTATAATTATGAGAATTAAACGTTGTGTGTGTGTGTGTGTGTCTCTGTGTGTCGCGTGCGTGTGCGCGCGCGTGCATGCCTATGATTGTATCTTAAATATTCTAAGGCCTCTGTACACGGTCAGTAATACTGTCAGTATTGACGAATACTGATAATATTATTGATCGTGGTTAATAATGATGGATTGACGTAGAATACTGACGATGATTTGGATTTTGAATACATGCTTTTTCTTTAAGATCCATGTCATCATAGATAATAATGTACATCAAACTACATCAAACTGAAGTGAAATATCGTCAATAATACTGATCGTATAAGTTTGTAAAACCTAATGCATACTGTCAGTAATATACTGATCAGTAATACTGACTCAGTATTACTGACCGTGTAGGGAGGCCTTATGACGGAGATCAAACATTTTACAATTGGAACTTTTCCATCTATTTTCTACACATAATATTGTACAAAAAAATGTCATAGCATTATTGTGGAAAAAATGCTCTTGCAATTTTTTTAACTTCAGTATATAATAAAACAAATTGTAATTGCCTCCTTTTGGTTCAGTAGGGCTAAGAACTTTTGAATATAAAATTATTATTCATTATTATATAAAGTATCGATATTTATATAGAATAGACTAATAGCCAATTTTTTCACTTCCAAATAAATTACGGATAACTTTATCCAGGAGATATCTCCATTGTATTCCGAGAGATATCTCCTAGATAAAAGTTATCTAGAGGTGAAGAAATTGGGCATAAATAAGACTTTATATGTATCAGTTATTAATAATAAAATATATATATAAACAAAGTGCCTTATACATAAATATTCCATATATATCACCTATTAATGAAACAGTACGCATAGACAATTAAATAAGATAAAATTTCCATGATAATGTTATTCGAGTTCTTGTGCTTGTATCCACGTAGTTGAATTAATACATCCTTTGCCGATGTTGTATGAAGTGTCTACTAGCATGTCGCTCCAATTTCTCGTTTCTTTCATTATTACGACGATCCCAGTGATGATTACGTCTATCGTGATTTTGATTTTGATTTTGACGTGACCAATCGTGCCTGCGTGGCTTATTATACCAAGGATCTACAATTGGTGGTTTCTTTGGCTCCTGCGTTTTAATCTTCATGAAGTCACCATCCTTCTCTGTATATCGGTCCTTGAACTCCTCCTCGCATTCTTCGATAAACTTCGTTTGCTCGCTTGTTAAAATGATATCCGTCATGATTAACGAATCTAGTTTGTATATAGAATAATAATGTATTAAAACCAATATAATAAAATAATTAATAAACATTTCATAAATATGGAAAATCATCATTATAAAAACTTACAATCAGAAACATTTCACGCTTTCGTTCGCTCTAGCTTCTTATTGCTTGCTGTAAATCACTAAATACTTTTCGTTTGAGCTTTTGACTGCTTTTGACTCGCGAGTGGAGGTTATGTTCTTTAAACACGATCATCACACACACAGCATAAAGGCAGGAGTACAAACGCACAAATCTTGAAGTTTAAGATTCATTTACAGTGCAGCTACATATCTGCACTCTTTTTAGACTTCTTCTTAGACTCTATATTTATAGCTACATATTTGTCTTGTAGAAAAAATATTTTAATATTTTTACATGAAACTTGTTTTTATTTATATTTTACGAAACTACAAAGTCAAATATTTTGCAATTTTACTCTAAACAATTTATAATGAATAAAATGATATGTTCCTTTTTCGCGATGTAGATACATATATATGTTTTCATACCGATATTTTGTTTCCTATAAAAATAATATTGTGTCATATAAGGTTTTTTTTACTTCCTTTTTTTTTTTTAAGTTACGGAAGTGTGTACAGAAGTCTAATTTTGCAAATTGGTTCTTGAAAAATTATGTGCACCTGGTGCACCTCAATTGCACTATAGTACACATCGGATAAGAGATAAGATATCTGAATTGAATTTTTATTATTTAAAAAAAATCGTTTTCTGCAAGCCTTAAAAAAATTCGAAAAATATAATTACTAAAATATGTTCAAAGACGCATTAGACACTGATTTTTCAATATAAATATGTACATACTTCTAAATAAAATATAGAACAATGTAGATAATTTTTTACTGTAATCTGTTCTTTATTTATTAATAAATTCTGTGCTCAGTATTTAAAGTTTACATTTTACGTTATGATGTTCTTCATCAATACATAAAATTAGGGGCACCATATTTTGTCATATTAAACAATTAATTAATCCTAGATTAGATACTAGATTTAACAACAAATGTGTGTCTAACCCCCGTATTCATAGTCAGACCTTATACTTAAGGCTTCCTTAAATTTATCTTCAGATGATCTACGAATTATTTTATTGGCTACTGAGTATCTAAAGATAAATTTAAGGAAGCCTTAAGTATAAGGTCTGACTATGAATACGAGGGTAATTGTGTTTGGATTTATGTATAATACACATATACATCAATAATAGACATCATGTAGATGCTAGTCGCAAATATTCATAACTCACTATATCACATGTCTTTGACAAACTGTAAGTGTGCATTTGAGGAGACGCTATTAACACTATATTCGTGTCATTCTATCTTTATCGTTCATTAAATACATAAAACAAAGGTAAAATGGCACAAACAGCTCTAATAATATTTCCTTAAAGTATCCTAAATCGACAATATCAAATCACATATAAAAGGTGTGAACTAATAAAACTTAATATTACGATTTATTTAACTACATAAATTCTTCTCTTTTTCACGCTTGTCATATTCGCGTAGAAACAATAATAAAAATATGAAAAGCACAGAGTAGCAATAGTACGAACGCTTCTAATAGACGATGCTTAATAATTTCTCATTGTCTAACTTTGGCCTACATCAAGACTGAAATTATTCGCATGAAAGGCAAAAACTTTCAAAACGCGATCATAAATATCTGCAATATGCAGTACTTAATTAAGTTTGTCAAGTAACTAGATTCGTTACTTTCACTTATCGATATTAAATTTTGTAATCACTAATGGTAACTAAACTTTAATGGCACTTGCTACTTTAGAAATTCTTGTTAAAATAAAAATTATTTATAATTATATCTCTTGCAATTAGTCTTTAATCCTTAACTAAAAAAATTAATTTTATATATATGTAAATTTAAGAATTATATGAAAGTTACATTGTAAGATAAGTGCGATCTCTCAAATACATAGAAATTCTATATAAATTTGGAGTGAGATCCGAATGCCTGCGTCGCTAATTGGTTAATTTAATATAACATTTTCTGATTTGTTGGTCCAGTTGCAAAACTCTAAGTATTGGTTACTGTGAGTGATTGTAGTTAATTGCGTAGTCAAATGGAACGTTTCCTATATTGGCCACCCAATTGATTCAGTAATGATTGACTACTTAAAAGACATTTTTCGATTACGAGCTAAACTTAATTTCCATTAGAGAAAATCCTCCGTAGATGTTACTGTCGCTTCTATCAATAGTCCAAAATCCAATTCTGTAAGACTAGCTGCAAAATAAAAATTATATTTTAAAAATATCCTTGAGATAATATAATTAATTGTGTCATTCAATTAAGTCTCACCTTTTGCAGTAAGTAAATCCAAAAAGGTGTCTAATGGTGATAAACGATCTGCAGAAGGAAACGCTGCCAAACCTTAAAATAATTTATGTTTGTATCATAGAAATTGTATTTATTAAAATATTAAAATATACGTTTTACTCACTGTTGTGATGATTACGGTATTGTAAAGTCCGACTGCTAGTTCGACTTTGAGATACTTCGCCGCACAGAATATTAGCAGCGTGTTCTCTGGCTCGCAACATTAAACTAATTGGATGCAACCATTGATTTAAGAGTCTCTTTGCGCGAGATCTTGGTAATAAGGACAATAACTTCAATTTCTGAACGACATTTTCTTTTGTGTCGCTTATATCTAAATGCAAGATCATCAGCTTATGTTAGAATGTATATGTGTATCTTCTATCTTATATTTAAAAAATTATAGTAAAGAGATACTATATTTTTTATTGTGCTTAGATATATACCAGCTAAAATAATCTTTGTGACATCAACTTGAAGTTCAAATACTGAGCGTTCAATGTATTGCAGAAACATTGAGTATTTAAGAGTACGGTAACCAAGATAAGTAAAAAACGACGCGAATCCTTGTGGCGCTGGGAAAGCAATGCTCTCTATGGCGTATTTATATCGCTGTAAGAGCATAAACAACAACCATCGTCTTGCTTCGTCCAATTGATCTCTACAAAAATAACATTATATTCAATACAATTATGAGATAAATAAATGTTCACATAAATTTAAATTTAGATACTATTTGATACTATAGAACACATTCAATGTACAAATTATAAATTTATATTTATTTATTAAGTCATAATCAATATAATGAGATATATTGTGTATGTATATATATATATATATATATGTATATATAAAATAGGGATTGCCTTACATGAGATTAAAACCACGTTCCTGCTCAATTCTCGGATCAACACCAGCTGCTCTACAAAGTATTTGACACAATATACGTGACGCTTCCAATTGCGCAGCCACGTATCTTGTAGCCATGGCATGAACGTGTAACGGGGTACAAGAACCTCGCGTGTGTATAGTTGATGTGCCATTCTTTAGAAGATACATTGAAAGTTCTCGCAAATTAACAGACACAATGTGCTCCTGTTTCGAAGCGGTGCAACTTTCAGTCTCGTTAAACGGTAAGCCTGAATCCAACTTGATGTTTCGATTACCCATAAAGTCTCCAAACGGCATTGCAACAAATCTGTTATACATTATTATTTATTATTAAAATTATCATTTATCTGATTATTATAAAAAATATTTTTGTGAAACAATATAAAGAACTTGTATTAATTTTATAAGTAACTATACATAAATAATATACATATAGATTATGTACAAATAACAGATAAATATTTGTATATTTCTTTATTTAAGAAGAAAACACAAATAAGGTAAATTTGCATTACTTTCACGTTAGGCATGCAATTAATTACATGGAATTAGCATGAGAAATGTTATTACCCTCCACTTGGAGACATTGGAGTACTGCATCTGGACAACGCTTCTGGTTGATAACAAGCCAAAGAAACTAACAGTTTTTCCGTAATATGACTAGGTCTGAATCTCAGTTTGTCACTACCATTTTTACTTAACTGATCCCACAATCTAGTCCATAAATCACTACGATAAGGAACGAGCCTTTGCTGCGGCGAAAGTAACATTACTGATGTATTCCAGAGTTTTTCGTGACTCAGCGTGATATCTAAATCGTTCATTTTTATATCAAAAGTCATATAATCGCCTATAGTAGTAACAGGCAATAGGGATAGTAAAGGGACAGTATCAGCAAGCAGATTTTTTTGCACTAAAGCGTAAGAGTTTCCTATAAGAATTTCCTGCATAAAGCGTGGGATGTCCAATGAGCGCGGTTTCTCTGCAATAATGGACATTAACTCCGTGATTATTTCTATGTCGTTTTTATGGCAGAGAAAATAATGAAGTATTCCCAAGCGGACCTCCACAGAGGCTTCTTTGCGAAAAACCTCAATAAGAAAATCTGGAGGAATCGTCAACTGCACGAGGTCTAAAGTAGGCAAATCTATCGTCAGTATACTCGTATTAGAATTTACGAGTAGACAATTTCCATCAGAACTACTGCTCTTGCCATCTGGATTATTATGGTAAGAACTCCTTCTTGTTCCTTTACTGGTATTATCTAAATCGAGTAGGGGCACTAAATAAGAGACACGGGATGGAATTGACGGTGGTGGACCGCATAATATGTGGCAGCAGGGCTCGTGATTCACGCCGATCTCAAGAAGATGTGCGAATAGTCCCGGCACGAATACAATCATATGATGGCTTTCGTAGATCGCGAAAGTCGGCCTCATCAACTTGGCACGCGACCACGATATACCCGGTATAACGCAATGGATCACGCAACTGTGATGCAGCAGTGTCACCGAATACGCAAAATGCACCGTGTTGGATTCGTTCAGAGAATTAAGTACATGCTGTGGTGGCTGTACAGGTCGATAAAGATAGTAGTGACAAATGCAGACCATCCCTTTAGTATCTGACACCACTATAAGATCAAGGGAACAATCGTGGACTCGCAGGGGTATCACGTCATCTTCGTAAGTCCCGCAACTAGAGGACGGTGACAGTAGCGGTAAGTTTAATGGGATATTCAGCTAAAAAGATACAATAAGTTTTACGCTAATACAATGCCATGCATTTTGCTATAAAGTTTAATTAGCAAGCTTACAAAATATATTAAAATTATTTGGCATATAATCTATATCATATAGACACAATAGACAGTTAGTAAAAATTACATAGATTAATAATTTAGATAGATGATACATATTCTTGTTATTCCTATCGTTAAATGCTTACCACTGTTTCATGGGGTAAGTCATCATGAAATTGAAGACCACTGAGGGTTGGTTTAGAAGATCTAGAATTATTTTCGTCCTCATTTTCAGTGACCACGCTTGCAGGAATTCGTCGATGATGTATATGGTAAAGGACTTGATTAATCATATCCCACTGAGCCCATATAAACGTTTTTACAAGTATTTCGGATTTCAATTCCTTTATCGGGCTTGAATGGCTTACAGATGTATCAAATTGAGCAGTATATGTCAAAATACCTTAAAATAACACACACCAATGGCAAAAAAATCAATGATTATAAATAAAATAGATGCTCCAACTATATATTTTAATTTCATACTTAAAAATTCTATTTTTATACAAATGGTAGTAAAATTACAATAGTAATAAAACAAAAACCTATAGTATACTCTACTTACATTCATGATGTATCAACACTAGAAATTTGTCAACATCCAGTTGTTCTTTTTCTCTATACAGAAATTGTACTCGCACTTGTTCAGATCTCTTTATTTCTAGATCATGCACTTTGGTATCATCAGTAGTTAACTCTATAATAAACACTCTGTAGAATTCTCCATGGGACTCATGCTCTGAGGAGTGATCTTCCATCTTTAGGCAATTTTTTTGTTTTGTCACATATCCCATCAGAGTATGACTCTGGTTGACCGTAGCTTGAACAATATTTAATACTTCCGAAAAGCAATGCAGTACCTATATAATCAATCAATATTAAAAATAACCATGTGGCAAAGGATTAATTTTTTTCTCATAGTTCTCACCTGTAATTTATTGTCAATCTGGTCGTAACGGCCGACTACAGTACACGATGTACATATATTGTTCCTCTCTGATTCTTCCATCCATCCAATAAGTATCGAGCCGTCTTTCTCTTGTCCAAGTAACTTCCATTGTTCGGCTGAGGAAATAAAGGGCATTATCTTTTTTCTAATAAATATTCTTAATAACGTAATTAATTATAATTTACATATTGACTGATATTGAAAATTATCTGTTGTGTGTGCTCCTCTAATATTTTACATAATTATTTATGTCATTATTTTCACATGTGCGATAAGCAAAATATTTTTATAGATAAGCTGAACAGATAGCCTTGCTACATTCCAATATCATCTTTATCATTTAATAAATTAACAATCTCTCGACAGTTACCTGTATTGGCGTTTTCCGACAGAAGCGAACATAATTTCGCTGCGAGGTTCTCTATCATATCTATTAAAGACAACAATTTCTGAATAATTTACGTTCTTTCGATTGTTCACGCCGCGTTTCAATAATTGTTTAACAACAATATGTGCTCCTTTTTTTGATGCTTCTGGAAATTCTGGAATGTAGCTCCGAATCTATCTTGTCGTCTGCGTCGTCTGCTGCTTGTGCTATTTGCCGAACGAAGCCGAGCGATGCCGAATCGTTCCGAATCGTCATAAAAATTCACCTTAATTGTATTGTGAAAGTCTCTCGAGATCAAGTGAATCAACAGCATCTGTCATTTAAAATTAATCATCGTTGATTCTATCTTGTGGAATTCATTCAAAATAGAAAAAAAATTAGCTGGAGTAAGAATAAGTAGGAGAGCGGCCGGTCCTGAGTATTGTTTACTCCCTCTCTTTGCCTCTCTACTTCTGAAACACATTTTCTGCTTCTGAATCATTCTGAATCTGTCGGTTTATTGTGACAAGTGATTTGTCGTCATTCTATCGGTTTCATCGAAGGGATACAACTTCCAAGGAAAAAATGATTACTGGACGCGCATTGCATTTTGTATTCAAGATACCAGATCGCGGATTAACGGCGAAGTTTTATCGAGAGATTCTTGGCATGAAGGTAACTACAAATTTCTTTCTTTTTTCTTTATTTATCGCGCGATTCGATGTGTTGATTGTTGAATTATGTGTCTTTACAGGTGTTGAGACACGAAGAATTTTCAGATGGATGCGAGGCTGCGTGCAACGGGTGAGTAATTGCTCGTGACTTGCCTTCATTATGATGCAATAATTTCTTTAAAACAAAAAAGATTTGTACTTTTATATTAATTATTAACGTAATATAAAACGTAATAATAAATTTATACATGTATATATATTAATTTGTAATTTTATTTTTTTTATAATTATGTATGATTTTAGATTCTAATATCAATTGACTCCTTTCAACCTGTTGATATTTGCACATGTAAAATTAATCTCTTTCTCTCTCTCTCTCTTTCTCTCTCTACAATGTTATTTGCAATATAATTTATTTTGTATTACATTTTGTGTTATATCTTTTTCTGATGGTATTAAATGGATCACATTCTTCATTTATATAAAACATTTTAGTTTTGTAGCATTATAAATATATTTTTTTTACAGACCATATGCAAATCGTTGGAGCAAAACAATGATAGGATATGGCCCTGAAGATACACATTTTGTCATTGAGTTGACATATAATTATGGGATTAAAGAATATGAAACTGGAAATGATTTTAAAGCTATCACTATACGTTCGAAAGATGTAATTGAAAAAGCACGTGCAAATAATTGGCCAATACATGAAGAAAATGGAAAGTTTACGGTACAGGCACCTGGTGGATATAAATATTATATTGTTAACGAGCAACCTCTTACTAACAGTGGTAAATATAAAGTCAGTCAGTTTATGCTTTTAATAATATTGATACCACAATTACTTCGAAGTTAAAATTATATAAATCAGTTTATGATATTACAGTAATAATAATTTATAGAATAAAGAGTTTTAAAATGGTTATGAAAAAGAAAATAATTATAATACCACATTTCTAGCAAAATTATATTTTTATATGTATTGGCTGTTTTGAATAGATCCAGTAGAAAAAGTTACTCTATCCAGCTCCAATCTTGAACGTACCATTACTTATTGGAAAGATATTTTGGGATTACAGATATTTGATAGGAACGATAAAAGTGTATTGATGGGATATAGTAAAGATCAAATCAAACTTGAATTTGAAGATATTGGTAAATATATACATAATAATTTATTTTCATTTTTTATTAAATTTATAATTACTGATTAAGTACTTAATATAATTTATTATTAACAAATTTCATATATATTAGGTACTGAAGTTAATCATGCAAAAGCGTATGGACGTATCGCTTTCTCGGTGCCATTTTCAGAACAACCAGAGATTCAAAAAGCCATTAAAGAAAGTGGAAATAAAATCCTGACTGATTTAATAACTTTAGATACACCAGGAAAAGCTTCTGTAAGAGTTATCATTCTTACTGATCCAGTAAGTATTTTGCAATATTTGAAACAGAACTTTTACAGTGCAGTTGCATTTTATTAATTTTATTGTGATTGTTTTCCAGGATGGGCACGAGATCTGTTTCGTAGACGATGAAGGATTTAGACAACTCTCAGTTCCAGATTATCCGAGTGAAGCAATTTTAAATAAATATATTAAAAAGGAATCAACAGATAACGTGTAAAAAAGTACTTCTACCGTTGAAATGTTTGTAATTTAATGATATTAAGTGTAAGAGGAGTCTGGGAGACTTGATCATACACAGGAGAATTAAATTAGTTAAAATGTTTCGTTCAAATTTTGCGCCAAGCTTGTCTAGCCGACGTATGGATCATGTTGTCACATGACATTGTAACAGTGATAAAACTGTAATCATATTACTGATTACGGATTGTCGATTACCGTTTTGCGCGAAATTTGGACGAGATATTTGAAATAGTTAAACTATTCCGTATAGTCAAATTTCTCGAACTCTTAGATATGATGGAATGCTAATTGTAAAGAAATTAAAACTTAAATGAATAAGGCATCTAAAAAAAAATGTAAATATGCAAATAAACAAACTTTAATTTTTGTATTAAAATTCTATGTGTCAATGTATATTTTTATATTATTTTATTCAAATTAAATTAAATTTTATTACAAAAAAATCAAAGTTCTCAATTCAGTTGGAAATTTTATACGAGTAGGAAATTTGATTTTTTGTAATCTTTTCATAGAAATAGAAGATGCTGACGCTTAAACATAAAATGGTAATTCCGTGATACGAACGTTTATCAGTTATAATTATACTGAAAGCATTTAATTGTATTAGTGAGTGGTCAACAGGTCATTAACGTAATCTTTCAACGTGCCTATATCATTACCAAGAAAGACGCAATTATTAAGAAGATTGATAAACGTAAGAAAAATATACATATATTTTAACATCTTATAATCATCGAGTATGCCAGTGTGCTTAAATCAGCGTAAGCTATAATTTCCATATAATAGAAATGAAGGTCCGAATTTTGTTAGTCATATTTCTTTTAACGTTTATTTCAACCAGTAAGTATATACACAATAATTTTATGTACTTTTATGTTACTTTATGTACTAACAATATTATACATATATATAAATAATTTTTTTGGATGTAACATTACTCAAATTAAATTTTTGTATAAATGTTACATTGTTATGTTAATATTTTAAGTAATTTTTGACTAATAATTTTTTATCTTAAATTAACTTTTTAATATGTGAATAAAAGAAAAATAATTTTGCTTGGCTCTATTAGACTTAAATTTTTATTTTCAGACCATGTAAATGCGAGAAGATCTGGATCTTCGCGAAGCTCATCACGAGGCTCGTCATCACGAAGTTCATATTCTTCTTCATCTAGATCTCGTTCAAGCTCTAGTTCTGGACATGGAAGTTCATCAGGGGGACATACGTCGGGATCAAGTCCTTCTGGACATGGAAGTTCATCAGATAGACATACGATAGGGTCAGGCTCGACTGGCTATGGAAGTTCTAGTGGACATATGACAGGATCAAGTTCTTTTGGACATGGAAGTTCATCAGGCGGGCATACGTCGGGATCAAACCCTTTTGGAAGTGTACCACGTGGAGGTACAGGCTCAAACCCGACTGGAACCTCATCGAGTATGTAATATGATTATATATAATATGTATATAATATATATGATTATAATAAAAGAGAAGATATTATGTATTCCAATCTTTATGTAATTATAGCAGAATTGTTCTTTTACTCTTGTTGTAGGTCAAACTTCACATCAACGAAATAAAGATGCATCTTCGACGTTCTTACAAGCTGAAGGAGGAGGTGCCACACGACCCTGTAAGTGTTATAGCAAATATAGTAATTAAAACCGTTTATTTTTTATTGCATGTTTAATATGAGTATTTCTGTTTTTGCACAAAGCTCAAACTAATTCCGCGCAATCTGGTCGACCATTAGCACCACATGGCAATACAGGTATTATTAACACTGATTATTTTTTCATTTATAATTAAACAATATTATAAGAAAGATAAAATTATTTTCAAATGTTATGTTAGCTGAGATATTATCTTTAATGTGTGTGTGTGTGTGTGTGTTTTAATTATCTATTTCATATCTGTTTTCACTCGTTTGTATTACATAAAACGACTTTTTCTATTGTATAAAAAGTAATATGTTCTTTTTCTATTAGGAACTTATCTTGGGAGTCATGGAACATCAAGTTTTACGAACAGGAGACAAAATTCTGCATCATATAATTCATCAGCACCACATAATCCGTCAATACCGTATAAACCATCAGTACCGTACAATCCATCAGCACCGTACAATCCATATAATCCATCAGCACCGTCAACTAATCATTTGTCGAAATCCACTGTGGTACCTTCGCAAAATCATGGTATATACTTTTTATCATTTTTAATAATTTTATGCATTTAAATTCTCGAAATTTAAGAAATAATATTGTCAATTATAATATAATTACTGATTATGACAGATAATTAACGTAAATTAAAAGAATAAATATTTTAGCAAATATGAACAATTTAAACATAATTAAAAATTAATAGATGCATGTATATAATTTTCTTGCAGCTCCAACTTCTTTTGGCCAACCGAGAGCGCCTTATAATAATCCATTACAAGGAACTGCATCTAGTAATCCTCCATGGAGCAATCCTCATTTCAATCCGAGTCAATCTCATCCAGCAGGTTCCACTTCTGCTAACATTGGCTTCAAAGATCATCTGCGTCCAACTTCGATGCCCGTTCCTTCTGCATCTTACCCGCGTCCTCCTTATCCTACTTCTGGTATTAATCCACACCCTCCTCCTTATCCCAGCCATTCTTTCAATTATCCTAATCAACTTCACGCACCTCACGTACCTTCCATGCACAATCCCAGTTACTCTATTCCCAGTCAATCGTTTGGACATCCTTCTAGTTACCCAGCGCATATTCCACCACCTGTACCAGGTACATTCGGAAATCCTTATTCTACGCATCCTGTTAGCGGAACATATGGCGCAGCTGGACACACTTATTATCCTCAACAACACGTTTTGGCGCAGCCAGCAGCACAACCGTACATACCTGGACAAACGGTTGTAATGGTTCCTGGTCAACAAGACAGTGGCAGAGGTTTTGGTCAGATGGTGAAAGAAGCACTCGTGTTTTCCACAATCAATGCCGGTGTGAATAGGCTGATAAATCCGCATCATCATTATGTGCATGATTCCAGTAGTCCGAGTAGTGGTACTGGTACTAGTGAAACGCATATAACTTATAATAATCATTATTTTAATACAGCTCCTCCTGGTAGTGTTCCTCCAACTTCACAAAATATACCTCAAGGAAATGTTCCCATTATGAATCCTATCAATCCAAATCCAGTGAACAATCCAGTTGTTACTCCGGGTGTATCAATTCCTGCAATTATCAGCAACGGTAGCACGACATATCCAGTTGGCGGTTCTTTCGTAAATACAGTAGGGACAGTTAACAATGTGGAAACTCCTTCAGTTGTACCTCCTAATGAATTTTCTACTAGCAATATAGTGACTAATCAAGAAATGTCCAATCAAGGAACAACTATTTATTCTCCGCAATATAAAATATCAGATGACGATCTATTAATGTTCACCGAAGAGTTATTTGTAAAACAAGAAGTTAATATGTCCAAGCATTTGACGTTGCATCTTCAGAGTAAATCGGTAAACGTAACCGATGCAGCTAAGGGACCGTGAGTTTTGCATTTAAATCAATCCTAATAAGTATTCTTACCTTATTTACAAATTATTTCTAGATTAATTTATGTGCAAGAAGAGGCATACGATTATCCAACGATCTTAGCTATTCGAGCTTTATACGATAATTATGAACACAATTCTACTATGAAAGAGACTCGTACAGCGGAAAAGCGAAAGAAAGAGGAATTTCTGTTAGATATGTTTGTAAATACGAATGTGATGACTAAAACTCTGCGATGGTTATCAGATCGAGGTGTCATCAATCCCTATGATTTCGAGAAGGACACTTTGCGGCGTATCTGGTTCAACACGTTCGACGGTTCCACATCAGGTTTTGAACGAGTGTTCACATCCGAAAGATATGGTACAGAGCTTCTTGGGGTACAGGACTGGATCTATTTTAATTATCAAGAATCGAACAATCGTATTGATTACATGGGATACGTTGATATCATGAAGCTTGGCGACGTGAGTCATATTATATTGTATCTATGTGTAATATATATAAAATATACTATCATGCTTAATATTATGTGCGTAAAGAATATAAGTATATTTGTAAAAGTGGTTATAACAATTATTTATTTTTTATAGAGAGCCTCATTAGTGAAATTGAACTTCGAAATGGATGGTATTATTAGACCAAACGCAACGATATTCGTGGGCACGCTTCCTGAACTTGAGATGGCTCTGTATACGATATGTTTTTATACCAGGCCGAATAATTTATGTCCCGTTTCACTTGGCGGAAGCAAATTTAATATTTTCACGCATTCATTTAGATATTACGGGATAGATGTTATAGATCTTGCACTTCCTATCTTCTAAGTTTGTACACACATAAATAAATTCTCGGATGTTACATAATAACATAAATGATTAAAATACATAACTTGAGCATATTTTAACAGATATGTCAAACATAATGCAAGAATGTGTGATTGTAAGATCTAAATAAACTTTTTTTAAAGTTTTATTAATGTAATGCGACAAATCTTGTTACAATAAGAAATGTATAATGTATTGCAATTTATTTGGAAAATTTTGGTGGTCTTATAAAATAAACATAATATAGTAATACATAATATAGGTCTTATAAAATAAACATAATATAGTTTCTTATCTTATTCTTATATAATAAAATATAATGTATTAATATTTAAAATTAAATGAACAATATTTCTCTTTGTCATTATGTGTGTGTGTAGAATTTAAGAAAACTGTAATTTGACACTGAAAAATACGATTGTATCCTTTTATTTTAGTGATGTTCTCTTTAAGGCTGCAAAGTTCAATTTTTTCTGAAATTTGTAATATAAAATATTAATTAGTAAAATATATTTTTATACAATTAATGTAATTTTTTTTCCAAGTAATATTAAATTTAACAGATCTTATTTCAAGAACAAATTAAACATAACATAATAAAATAATAACATAATTTAATTATGTTGAGATTTTATGTTACAATAAGAGAAGATTTAACAAATGACCTTGTAAAAAATAAGCAAAAACAAAACATCATAAGTTTTTATTAAGGAGAGATCGGTCTGAAATTGGCTAAAGAAATCATAGAGAAAGCGCGAGAAATCTAGAAAATATCGTACATATACAGCTTTCTTTGAATACTTTTAACTATAATAGTATATTCTAAGTTTTATAAAGTTTTAATAATTATTTTTTTTAATTGTGTTAAAAATAAAATTAATTTAATATGTTTTAAATTGAGAAATGTTTAATCAAATAACTCGACCAATTACAGTTCTGTTACAGACGCAGAGGATCGGTGGAAAGAGAAAGCCTACGAAGCATGAATCATTCAATGTTACGGGCGATGGTCACCGGCGTCTAGGCCGTTCAACATGAGGTCGAACGGTAGTAGTAGTTTGTCGACTGCGTGAGCAAACAGTGCGTGTCAGAGATTTTTTCGAGTTTCGAACCGATTGAGACAACAATTCGGCAAAAAGTGAAGCGGGCAACAACAAATATGAGAATCAGGACGTGCCTGATCACCGTGATTGTGATTTTATTTATTTTCGGTAATGGCATATGTTATTTTTCAACAAATATTACATTATTATACAGATAATATAGTTTATAATTATTAAAGTGTTGTTAAAGTAATAGATGAAGTTTGCACATGAGAAATATCAGATTTATACAAAATGCTTTTATAAATTTACACCAAGTGTATATTAATAAGTACTTTGCTTAATTAATTTGCATTCAAACAATTTTATTAAGCTTTTATGGAAAATTCGATCTTTAGAAACTATGCGTTATCTCCGTTTACAGAATGCTAATGTATTGTGAACGTTCCATTTCACTTTATCAGGACAAGGAGTAGTTCACAAAACTTTGGTATTCCAAGAATGGATATATGAATATTGAGATAAGCCGCGAAATATAAAGCTTTTATACATAGAAAAAACCTGTCGAAGTCTCAAAAGTATTAAAGTTCGATATTAATTGTCTTAACAATTTAAATTTTGTTTAAGCAAGCTTTAGAATGCTTTTAAAATCTGTGAAATACTTTAACAATGAAATAATACTTTAATTAATCAAGAATTAAGTTTTAATAAAAAAATTTTGTTGAAATTTTGCAGAAAATTAATTGATAACTGTGCTCCAAAATCTGCTTAAGCAAATTTTCCTTGAAATCAAGTTACGTGTTAATACGGAAGCACGGAAGTTCGCGGAAACTCATTCACTTCTAACTATCTATAATTCACGAATTACTAAAGTTAACTTATTAACTCACGAATTACTAGCAATTGTGGAAACATAATTTCTAATTTAGTCAGAAAATCTTATTTTGTGTGCAATGCAGATATGTTGTGTATTTGAGAAAACCAGTTATTTCATTATTAGAAAAAAACGATAAAGGATATATGCTTAATTCATTAATAAATACGTAACATAAAATTTGCCTTGCGTGATATTAATAAAATGAAAGAACTATGACGTGTATGTATGTATTATAGGAAGAATAACGTAAACGGAATATATGTTGAATTTTTATGATTCATAAAATTGATAATTTTTAATTTGTTCGTATACCATATATTTCAAAATCTTGCGAAGAGCATCTTTTAAAAGATACAAGAAAATAAAATGTATGGATAATGAATCAGCTGTTTAATTAGAAGGTAAAAAAAATGAAGGAACTAGATTCTATAGTCACGTAAGATTTACGTATAATGTCGATAAATTGACTAACAAATATAGACTACGTAATAAGTGAAATCAGCAGAGCAAATTGCTCTTCCATCTTACTCATACGTCATGCCGTCAATGTGCTCCTCATATGGTATTATTCACTTGACGGCGTTTACCGTAATTGCATTACGGCCTCTATGATCTAAATTGGAGATTCTCATCGAAAGACATGAACGGAAATTGTTTTAAGATACGTTTGTTAAATTCGTTGCGTAAAGAATTTGAAAAAATTGTAGAAAATTGTTACAAAATTAGTAGTTCTTTCAGAAATATTGCAAAAAATTACGTATATCTAAAAACGACATATATATATGTATATATACGATTGCAAAGCTATATCGAAATCATTATTAATCGAAATTGTCGTTTTTATTACTGAGAGAATTAATGTGAATGGATTTGATTTTGGATATATTTACATCTCTTATTGTATAATGTACGCACGAACTCTCATAGATATTCATCGTAATACATAATACTGAGTCAATGAGTGGACAGGCAATTGCCGCTACATTATATAATAATCTGTTGAAGAACAATAGGCCTGGCAATCTGTACCGGTGTCGAATCGCGAGAAATAAAAGAGGACACCAGGTTCTATATAGATAGCTTAATAGGCACTCAATCAACGTGTTTTATGACGCAGAAATTTATGTAATATCTTGATTCATTCTAATATGATCCAATTTTTAATAATTTTCACAGTAAAAAAGAATTTGGAATATTCTGAACTTTTATAACTCATAAAAATTTGTTTGCATGAATTTTGACGAAAATGATCTTTAGCTATGTTTTATCTCTTTTATCCTAAGTTATGATATTCTAACAATATAAGTTACAAGTCTCTTCAGTACTCTCAAGAACTTCCTTCACGAAGTGACATAAACATCGATTTCATTTTTAACACTTACGTATTGATGTACAAAAAGAAATAAATCGAAAATGATGTATAGTAATAATTAATCATAGCTATAATAATGAGACCCACGCAAATATACGTACAATTCCAAAAGACATGTAGTTAAATGTCGAAGTCATTATATATATAATAAATTGCATATAACATTGTGCTTACAGCGGACACAGACGGTCGTAGAACCAGCGGACGAAGGAGCGGTAGCTCCTCAGGATGGGGCTCCTCCGCCTCTCGAAGTAGTTCCTCTCGGCGAGGAACTTCTCATAGAACGACTCAACGGCCCTCACAGACAGGTATATAATATTTATGCATATTTTATCACCACATATTATTTATATATTATTTGTATTATTATTATCATCATCTGTACGTTTTTTACTAGTACTATTCCTATTACATAATTATTATTTTTTTAATATTCATGAGATTGCGTTCGTCAATTCTTCCAATATATTGCATCATATTGTATTATATATATAATATATATGTATGTATTGTTGCAATGAAAAGAGAAAATCCGTATCGCCGATTCAGAAAAGTTATAATCATAAAAGATCATCGCATTAAGATACTTTTCATAATTTACATGGAATTGCGCCGTGGTTTACAAATGTTTATGTATCTACGCGTCAGATCACTTACAAATTCGATGAGTCACTGCTTCATATAGGTAATAACGCTAACAGCCTTCTACGGCTTCGCATGTTTCACTCGCCTCTAATATCATATGAATCCCGTTACGTTTGTAGGCTCAAACCCGAGTAAAATAGGATGGAACGTACCACCGAGTAACACTAATAATAAAGCAGCCGGGAGTCCTGGGACCAGCAATGTCAAACCTCCAGTATCTGAACACGCTTCCAAGACTAGCGCGACGAATGTGCAATCAGGAAATCCGTCAGCGAATGCACCACCATATACTCCATCGGGTATATTAATTATTCTTTCATATCTTATATAGGAAATAAAATCAAGGTACCGGCTGCTTAAATTTCGATGATACAAACACCCGAGGATAAAATCCCTACATATTTTTCTATTTGCAATGTGGGAGATTAAAGATGCTAAGATTATATCTATAATAAAGTATTTCTTGGAGTTAAATTAAGTTGCAATATTTCTCCTTGTGAAATCTCGATCTAAGATTAAAAATCTCATTTTACGTCTCTCCCTTATAAAATATATCAATTTCTAAACAGCATTTTATTGAAGGAATACCTTGTGAACGTCCTTAAGATATATAGATGTTTTCTGGACGTCTCTTTGAGGATCTATACTACATATAGGACTCTTCATATATAAACTTGGAAAGAAAAGGGCACTAGGAGAAGTGCTTCTCCTAGTACCCTTTTCGTTCCAAGTTTATATTTGATTTATACAGGAGTTTTTGTTATTCAAAAACTCTTCATATAATTACATAAAGATTGTAATTTTTATAATTTTTATTCTAATCTTTCCACACATTTTTTAGGCGGATATCCTCGGCAGCCCGCCAGCAATCCTTATGGCGGCACGGGTTACAACCAGAACCAGGGCTACCCGTCCTACAATGCGAATCCTTCGTACCCCGGTTACGGTGGCCACTCACCGTATGGCCAGGCTTACAATCCGTCTATGCACCATAACGCGCCACCAGCCTACAGTCCTTACGGTCATGGACAGTCCTACGGCGGTTTCGGTGGACAGCAATCGTTTGGTCAACCGTCATACGCCCAGCCATCCTATGTTCAACCGGCTATCCAACAAGCGCCGGCACTCACCGTCCTGCAACCGAGCCGACCTGGTATCGGTCAGTTGGCCAAGGAAGCGCTGGTTTACTCCAGTGTGAGCGCGGGCGTGAGCGCGGCC